AGATATGCAATTTTTTCTAACTCTAGTGACTTTCTGGACACCCTATAATGTATCATCGTCTTTGTCATAATTCCCTATAATTAAACTTCGTCTAACTTGTTCTTTCTGGATCTTCAGCTGTTTTTGCCATTTTGTATCGAGTTGAACAAGATGAAGTGTTGCACAAAGGAATAGTATAAGTTGTCGATTAGTACGATCAATTGATATATCTGAAGAAGATTAATAATATGCTACAATAAATTTTTTATCATTGTTTGCAAACTTGTTACTGATATAAAAATAATACTTACTGTTCGTATGATTAAATCGTCCAACGTTCTCGACTACTTCGATAGTTTCTTCAATATATTTATTTTCTGTTGTTTTTCTTGTGGTATTGACTGCAGCAGTTGTATATTCATCTAAATTGCCTAATAGCTCAAGCAAGTCATCGCTGTCATCCATATCGTATTCGCCATGAACATCATGTTTTGCTAGCAAAAGTACAGGATTGATAGTATCATTGTCAACTTGAGCTTCAGAAATAACTTGAAGTAAATGATCATCACGATCCTTTTTTACATTCGTGCAAAAGTTGAATATTTTCTATAATCTTCCATGAATGAACAGAAATAAGATGTTGCCGATATTTGAAGGCATCTTTCCATGTTTGATTCGTATCACAGAGATTAGTGACGGACCGCCAGGATACGAAGAGTGTGAGAAGAGCTCGACAATATCGTTCTCGAGTGTCGTCACGATCTTGTCGAGGAATTTGAGGGCCGTAAAGAATAGGTACATGAAGTTGACTATATTTCATCATTAAATGTGTTGTTGTCTGGGGATGCTGTTGTTGAAGAGGAAAGCGTTCATTGTGTGGTCGACCTTGTTGATTAGCATTTTTTTCGGCTGATGCTGCAGATTCGGATAAATACTTGAAATCTGATGTATTCATTTTTTTTCTTATATAATGTGCTGACGAAGTCGTATAAACACACCTTGCTGAGAGTATCGGATCGGTATTGATAATCAATTCTTGTGTTAACAAGGACGAATTTATTGTCATTTTCATTCGATTGAATTTGAAATTGTTCTTCGTCATTGTTTTCATTGTCAATAGCTTCATCATCATATGGGTCATCGTCCATTATATCTAACAAATGAAAGATAATACATTATATTTGATTCAACTAGTATATTAAAAACATACCGCATGTTACAATTTTCGACTTCTGTTTGGCACGTATGTCATTTAATTGAGTTTGTAAAAATCGTTCAGTTTGAATTAAAAAGAGGCCTTGGAACTTGTGTATTGTATAATGATCATCCCAGTTCATCAGATAAGATGCAACTTGAACTCCAGATAATTCTTGTTGAGAAGCAAGTGTATTATAACAGCGTAAAACGAGTCTACGCGACTTCTCGATTGTAGTTTCTTTGTCTGGTTGATGGCATGAATTCTGGAACGCTGTAATGCTTTTTTGGTACAAGAGCAAATGTATCATGAAAAGAAAGACTCATTTTTGTCACATAATCGGTAATATAATAGATAAGAGTCTTTGCATCGCTTCTACTCCAGATAAATTTAGTATCCGTGTTGGATCGACAGGCTGCGATGAGATATTCATTACAATTATTGATCAATGGGTTGGATCTTCGCATAGAAATGTGACCTGTATTAGGATCAATTGTTGAAATTGGTACCAACTTGCGTAGCATACGCATGTGACAACTTTCCTTATCATTTTTATTAGCATTCCAGTATTTATAGCAAGTATCACTATGTTTATGAATATTGCTTGCTTTAACAAGTTGTACTACATCTGCATGAAATCGTGATGCAAAATTAGGTGACGACGGATTTGGAGTTGGTAAGCAAGCTAGAATCACTTTTGATTCATTATACGAAGCATTAATAACTAAAATATTAAATAATCCTTTACTTTTCTTCTATAATTACTATACTTACCAAATGTTGATTGATTACGTGTTGGTGTTTATAAAAGTTTATTTGGCAATGCAGACACATGCAAAATCGATGAAACAAATTGTTCCTTCAACGGTGTTGATATAATGTTATTGGGTCCATATATATTTTGTTGTAAACCTGTCAAATCGATTGTACTTAAA